TCCCAGCACTCTGGGAGGCTGAGGCAGGAGGATCACAAGTTTAAGCCAGCCTGAAGTTGGAAATTTAGCAACTTAACAAGACCCTGTCTCAATAAAAATAAAAATAAAAATAAATTAAGAAAAACTGTGATAGTGGATATAGTCAAACAAAATATATGTCTTGTTTTTCCTAGAAGTGGAGATGGCATCATCCTACAGATGGACAGCATTAGGGAAGTTTCCAGCCACAGCTCCTACAGGAGCTGTGGAAGCTGGAGATGGGTCACATGTGTGGGACTAAAGCAAGGCCAGCCCTGAGAACATGGAGAGCCCGAAGCAAGCCAGGTAAACAAGCTGCTCCAGTTCCCAGAAAGCAAGGGGCCCAGGCCAGCCAGGCAAACAAGTCCCTCGGCAGCAGGGCTGAAACTGACATTCTTCTTTGGAGGGTATAAACCAAGGTGCTACAGTGGTTGAGCAGTTCCTTCTCTCCCATCAGGAGGGCAAAGGCTCCACCCGACCTCAGTGCTCTCTCTTTTCTTTATTTCCCATCCTGTCACCGTCCCTCCCCTACCCCAGGAAGCCTAGAGCTGCAGCTGGTCACTAGAGTCCCCACTCTCAAATTTACATGCCAAATTCCTAACCCCCAAGTGAATGGTGTTTGGTAAGTAATTAGGATTCAGTGAGGTTGTGAAGATGGCTTAATAGGAAGAGGAAAGGTGACATTGTGTTCTGCCATAGAGGACACTGCAGGAAGGCATCTGACTGCAGTCCGGAAAAGAGCCCTCACCAGGCCCAACCAGCCAGGACTTGGACCTTGTACTTCCAGACTCCAGAATTGTGAGAAATAAACATCTATTGTTCAAGCCACGTGGTTCACAGGCTTAGCAGCCTATTCTGGGTCTACCGGGGAGAATCTGACAAGGAGCATTACCCAGTCTGCCAGCCTTCAGTTCTTCCTACCCAGGGAGGACTTCTCCCAAGAGACTCCCCAGTGTCCCTTCAGGAATCTCCAGAAGATAATTTCTTATCATTGCAAACAGAACACACTTTGAAAACAGAAAAATTAAGGAAACTAAAAATGCCACCTAGCATCCTCCAAATAAACCCAACTATTTCTATTTTGCTAATTCTTTCCCAGTACTTGTTCACAGATGTGGACTTAATTATTCTGCTTCTGGTAACCAGAGATTTATTTTTGCATTCTGCATTTACACTCAACAGAATGTCAGAAGCATTCTTCACACTGGTACAGCTTCCTTGATATATTAATAGCTTATAATCATCCTCAAATTTGTTGCACCATGATTTGCCTAACAAATAAGTGAGTTTATTTCCAACTTTTTCTCCCTATGGTGAATGCCACAATCAACATCTGCATGCACTAGTTTGCTTGTTTATATGCTGGATGTTGGTTTAAAAGCAATCCAGATACCGGATCAGCCTGAGGCTGGTATCTCACATTGTTCTGCTTCTCCTCAACCTTCAGCTGTCAGTTATAGAAACTCTGCTGCTCCTCTAATACCAGACTCTCAGTTGGCCAAGAGTGACCTGGAAGGAGCCAGGTCTCCTACAGGGACAAAGTCTTTGTTTTCTATGGCTATAACTGAATAGCACAGTCTGGAAAATTTGTGAAAAGTAAAGGTTTACTCTAGCCCATGAATCTGGAGGCCAGGAAGTGTAAGAGCATGGTGTTGGCATCTGCTCAACATCTTGAGGGCCTCTCTTGCACATGGGGTTGCTATATAGCATCCTGAGGTAGCACAGGACACCACACGACAGGACAGAACAAGCACAGTGGACTGGGTCTCTATCCATTCTACAAAGCAACTAAGGCACCCAAGACCTCACTGTTGTGATTTTATCTACTCTCAAACATCTCTCAAAGGCTCCACCTCTAAATACCATTAACAAATGACTTTGGAAATTAAAAACACCCAGAACTTAGTAAGCATTAGGTCTGAAAAGAGAGCCCCACATCCCACTTCTCTTTCTAGAAGAAAGTATCCAATGTTCACTGGGAAGGAAGTGGGACCAGAGGATCTTGGTGGGTTTTCCCTGTGGCAGATGAAGGCTGCCCTTGTTTGTCCCGGGCCATTTAACACTGGCCCTGGTGCAGTTATTCTTCCGGCATCAGATACACTTTTGGCAAGGATGGCAGTCAGGGTTCTCTATGTTAGCCAAGTGTGGACAGCTAACTCAAGTCAGATGAAGCAGATGCTTGCTTCCTGGGAAGACACTGCAGACTTAACTGGACAGGAACGTCCTAAGGAAGCCATCAGACCCCCAGAGCTGCCTGGTGCTGCTCTTTCTGAGCCCAGTCCCACTACAGTTCTGCAGCCTTCCCCAAGAATCTTTTCTGTCCATGTTGGCTAAGTCTGTCTCTCCTGCTATGCACAAATACATGGTGGAGAGGGCCTCGAGAGCCAGAATGACCACTTCAAGTTAACCTGAGGTGAGGGCTGCCTGGCCTACGCCTGTCCAGCCAGGTCTCTCTCTCTCTCTCTCTCTCTCTCTCTCTCTCTCTCTCTTTCTTCAATCACTCTCATCAAACAAATCCTGGCAAAGGACAAAGCGATGCCTTTGATTCTGCTAAAGGCAGCTCCCCTGGCAGCTCATGCCTACTCAGCATCCCCAGGGAGGAATCAAGCTCAGGGCCCACTTGAATTCCTGGACAGAGCTCAGCTCAAATCTTGGGCTTTCTGGACCAGCCAGAGGCAAGGAAATCCAGGAGGTAACTGAATCTAGAGCCTGGGCCAACCTGGGGTAGTGCAATGAGTAAATGAGTGTCCCACAGCCGGCAAGGATTGAGTGCATGTCTCAGACCACCATTCACTCTTCCTCAGGTAGGCAAAGAAGTTATTTCTTTGAGAATCAGTTTCCTCCTCTCCTAAATAGGCCTAATGGCTGTGTGAGTAGGTCCTCAGGGGAGTTAAATTCTTATCTCCACCACCTGTGCTGGTGCACACCTGTAATCCCATTTACTTTCGAGGCTGAGGCAGGAGTACTGTAATTTCAAGGAAGGCAATTCAAGGACAGTGTGTCTCAAAAAAGGTTGGGGATGAAGCTCAATGGCATAGTTCCCATGGGTTCAATCCCAGCAGTGCAAAAAATTAAATAAAAATTATAGTCTCAGAACATTACAGGATTTGAAATCTGAATCATTTTGTCTGGCACTGCTCTTCTGTTTCTAGGGATTTTCACGGTATCAGTGCCCCGCAACCCCCAGCCTCCAATGCAGCCATGAGCCCTGGGCTTGTGGGGACCGCTGGCTTGGCAGATCTGCTCTCTCCTCACCCAGCACTGCTTCCTTACTGGGACCACACCAAGAAAGGGAGGGAGGGCAGCTTCCTGCTTATAGCAAGACTGCTCAGAGGTGAGTGGAACGTGGCCACTTCCATTTTTTGTTTCCTGGCATATAAAAAATGAGGAAGGTTACAGTAACTGTGGTATAATCTGTGTCTGCACAGAACAAGTGGGGTACAATATATCTATGTTATTGACAAGATCACTACTGAACTCAGTATATTTCTTCATTTCTTCATAATGGTTCAGTCGTAGTGCAGGGTGCAAGTTTAGAGTCTCAAGAGGTATCTGCTGTGTTGGTTACTTTTCTCTCATTGCTGAGACAAAATACCTGACACCCAAAGTTGAGGAAGGAAAGGTTTATTTAGCTCACAGTTTGTGAAGGCTTCAGTCATACTCAGGTGGCTCCAAGGCAGGGTATGTGGCTGAGGGGCAACTGATCATGGAGGCTGCAGCAGATACCAAAAGCAACAGAAGCAAAAGGGCAAAAAGAAGGAGCAAGCCTCTTTCCTTCCATCATCTGCACGTTACCTGCTCCAGGGCAGGCACAGCACTCACGCTACCCTTCCCAGAACTAGACAACGAACCCATCACAGCCTCTAGATTCAGCCATCTTTGAAAGGACCACTGCCCATGACTGCATGAAGCTTTGGGGAACATCCAGACACAAGCCATAACATCTGCTTCTGATAAGCTGTACAAGCTGGATCTGGTCCCTGAAAGTGTGAACTTCTAAAAAAGATGGAAGCAAATGCAATGCAGAAACTTTATTGGATTCCAGTCCAAGAAAACAATGGGGATCATTTTTAGATGTTTGGGAACTTCTGCACACGAGTCCAATATGAATGGGATATGAGATTATTTTAGGGAATAACCATTCATTATTTCGGTAATAAAAGAGCACAATAATATAAGAGCATAGCCAAAAGGATCATTGCTGTGGTTTAGATATTGTGTTAGTCAGCGTTCTGTTAGTGTAACAGATACCTGACATAATCAGTTCATAAAGAGAAAAGTTTGTTTTGGTTCTCTGCCATGGCTGGTTATCCCTTGTTTTGGGACCCTTTCGGAAGACAGAGCATCACAGTGGCAGTATATGGTAAAACTGCTCACTTCATGGCTGGAATACAAATGAGAAGGGGAGAAGGAGGAGCTGGTTTCCCAGTATTCCCTCATAGGGATGCTTCAACCGACCTCTCTTAAAGAGTTGTCCCTCCCAAAAGCACCACAGACTAAAGACCAAGTGTTTAACACATGGCCTTCAGGAACACTTATCCACCCCACGGCAGATGTGGCTTGCCACATCCCCCAGAGGGAATCTACAAGCTGTGTCCCCAGTATGCCAGAGCTGAGGTGGTGAGTCCCTAAATAGAGGGGCTTAGAGGAAGGAGATTAGATCACTGGGGCCCCCTGGGATGGGGTAACGCTGATCTCTCAGCAGATCAGGTCTCAAAGCAGTGGGTGAGATCCCGAGAGAAGGGTTACTTATTAAACAGCCAATCTGGTACTCCCCTGGCTCTTGCTTCCTTGGTCACACATGTGGCCTTTCTGCACGTGGCCATTTCCCTTTCCACTTCTGTCATGTGGTGTCACAGCCATCGGACACTTGCCAGAATATCAGCATAATGTTCTTGGGCCTCCAGACCTGGGAGCTCTTTTCTTAGTCAAGTACCCTGCCTCAGCTATTTTGTTACAGCAATAGAAAATAGACTAAGACATCACAAAATAATTCAAACTTTATTTTCTTGGTGTGTAAGAGATTGAACCCAAAGCCACATCCCCAGTTGTTTTCTATTTTTTATTTTAAGACAAGTTTTACTAAGTCATAAAGTTGCCCAGGCTGGGTTCCAACTTGCAGTCCTCCTGCCTCAGCCTCATAAGTGTTAGTGTCACAGGCACGCACCACCCCACCCAGTTAGGGAAAGAGGGTGCTGACTGGCCTGAGTGTCTTCAGGGAACTGACTGCCCCCTGCTCCAGGCAATGCCTGTGGGAGGGCAGCGCTTCAGTCCTCACCAGGCCAGTCCTGGTCCTCGCAGCAATGAGTCACAAGGAAACAGGGTACTGACAGGAGCTATAGCTTCTAGGCATCCATCACCTCACCTGCATCTGGGAGGATGAGAGAGGAGGGAGAAGAAAGGAGAGACAGACCACCACCTCCATCTCACAGAGGGAGTACCCAAAAAGGACAAAAGGTAACAGAAGTTGGCATAAATGATTTGAGCCAATGGCATTCTGAAAATGAGGAAGACAGACGGAGGAGAGAGAGGAGAGGAAGGAGAAAAAAAGACGGAGACAGATCACAAGAATATTGCAATTTCTAATGGTTGCCAGTTTCCATGGTATAATTATTACCCTAATGCCTCAGTCAATTTCAGGGTACCAGCCTCAAAAATTGCTGAATATTTAACAATCATCTCTAGCACATCAACGATATGAAGTCAGTTCTGGGGTCCTCTACTCTTTTTCAGTCAGTATTTCCTATATTTTGACACTGCACACAAGTTTAGGATCTCATCACTCCTGGGTTCCATGTGATGACTCCTCATTATGCTTTGTCTTAAGACACTCACTGTTGGAAGACAGGTGCCATGACTATCACTGAAAGCTAAGTCGCTTTGCTGCAAAGTAAAAGGTAATGTTAAATGTGCATAGCATTGTTAAAATAATGTCCTCTACACTTCCTAGAGTCCTTTCCTTGTGTGCAGTCTGGTGGCCCAGAGGCTGTGCTCCATGACCTAAGGCCTGTCTCTCTGCTTGTCTCCTGTAAAGCCACCATGGGAAGTGGAGATAGCTTCCTCCAGTCCTTCCCCAGGAGGAGATGGCCCTACACACTGAGTGCAAGGGTGCCTGGCCAACACAGATGCATCTCACACCTGCACAGATCGCAGGCAGCAGTCCCAAGGACTGCAGGGTCCTCCCCACAGGCCTGCGCTGGGTCTCCATGGAGGCTCTCCTGTGCCACAGCATGGGGAAGGAGCGGGGTCAGCAGCAGCAGTGGAAGTGCAAACACAGACCAAGACCCAAGGAGGACGGAGCACTCAGGGAGAGGACAGGAGAGAGGGACTGAGGTGACACTGAAGGGCGAAAGCTGACACATTTCCACTCCAGTGGAGCCACTGTGCTCTAAGGTGTTTTTGCGTTGGAAAACTCTGGTATTACATATAAGGCTTTTGTACTTTTTGGGGATATGATTTGATATAAAAATTAATAAATGTAAGGAAAGGGTTTTTTTCTTTAAAAAAACACACTATTGGGTGAAAAGAATGGAAAACAGAATGACATCTACAACTCAACACTGTTGCATGCTGTACAACATACATCTTACAACACCACAAACCAAAAAGCATATTAAATGCATTAGAATGGTTGCCTCGGATTCAAGGAATGGTGACAAAAAGGTCTAAGTCAATAATAAGAGAAAGGCCTCGCTCAGACCAGCGGGGTTCAAAGGCACACCGAGTCAGGCCTCAGCAGCGCCTTCCAGGAGGCGGGCCTTGCCCAGCCTCTGGACTTTTATTTACCTTACACTTTTCTTTTTTGTACCCAGATTGAACTCAGGACTGTGACTTGCAAAGCAGGTGCTTATGCCACTGAGTTAAATCCCCAGCCCATTTATCCCACACTTTTAATTAGTTCAGTTTTTAAAGAAAACTTAAGTAAGCATTTTAGAAGTGGCTTCATCCAAAGGAGTTTTACAAATGGCCAGGGAGCACATGGAAAGGTGCTCGACATCACTAAGTACCAGGGAAATGAGAATCAAAACCACAAGGAGACACCACCTCACATGCATCAGGATGGCTGCTGCTGAACGCAAACAGCAGACAGATATTGGCAGGCATGTGGAGAAAACGAAACCCTTGCATGCCGTTGGTGGGACTGCAGAATGATGCAGCTGCTATGATTAGCAGTATAGAAGCATCAAATTGCCATTGTACCTGGCAACTCCACTCCTGAGTACAGGCATAGAAAGGCTGAAGGCTCCTGGAGGCATCTGGCAGCAGCCAAAAGGCAGCAGCCATCCAGCACCCAGCCACCCACGAGTGGATGCAGCAGCAGCACAGGTAAATTACTCAGCCTTTACTTTAAAGAGAAGGAAATCCTGACACATGCCACAGCATGGAGGAACCTGGATGATGATGCTAAGCGAAATAACCACTCACAAAAGGACAAATAACTGTGTGACTGCACTTACACGAGCTGCCCAACAGTGGACTTCAAAGAATCAAAGTAGAAGGGCAACCGTCAGGGGCTGAGAGCAAGGAGAAGGTGGAGTTGCTTCACGGGTACAAAGCTTCAGTTCTGTAAGATGAAGAGTTTTCTAGATGAGTAACAGTGATGCTGCTCGCACTCAGCACCACTGAACTATGTGAAAGAATCTTGCCCTAGGCCGACACTGTAGCTGGGAGGAGGTTGGGAGGCGGAACCAGGGGGCTCTATCTTGAGGTCGCCTTTTCCCACCCCTAGGTGATTTACCTGTGATGCGAAATGAATACCAATGGGCTCCCTGTGCATCACTAATGCCCCTTAGGCACCACCCCAAACCTAAGCTACATGTATGCCCCCACACCACGTGTCTGCCGGAGAGAAAACCAGACTTCAGTGGTGGGGAGGGGGTTGTTTTTCTCTCCGTGTTCTCAGAATAAAGGCCTCTTTTATTTCATACTTCTCATCTTTTGGACGTGCCAGAATCTTATCACTATGTACTTTAAGATGACTAAGGTGCTAAACTTTATGTGTGCTTTACCATACTGGTTAAATAAGGTAGCTCGATTTCACTATTATAAATGAAAACTCTCTTGCCCTAGAGGAAGTCACCATAAAACTAAAGACAATCACATTTCCTCAAACGGGATGATGTTAACACTGCTCTGCTAAGGCTGTGTCTCATGTTATCTGAAGTGAAGATCGGGAAGTGTTAAAGGTACCCTGGAACCAACTTTCTCCTTGACAAATTCAGAAGAGCTTTAAAGAACTCTAAAGGTAGCTGGCTGCCTCCTCCCAACTTGGTTTAACAGAGTAGTGCATGGGAACCTCTATAACGATTTCTCATGCTAGGGCCATGGGTACCCCACACTTTGAAAGACCCTTGCAAAGAAAAAGGTATAGGGGCATCAGTGTCTTGGGCAGGGACAGGTTAGGGTGTGCCAAGTGGGAGGGGGAAGGCAGGGAGGCCTCTACTGGAGAAAAACCTCCACCATTGGGGCAGGGAACTCCCGGGACTCCGGTCCTCTACTTGGTCTTAGGGCTCCTTACCTCCTTAAGAGGTCTTAAGTGCAGTCCTCTTCCAGTTTTGGCCCAGGAGGCACTAGCTGCCCTGGTCCAGGAGTTTGCTTCCTTGAGTAAAAGCCAGTCCCAACAGTGAGGGCCCTGTGTAGGAGACTGACGGTGACAGAGCTGGTAAAAGGCAGACAAGGGAGAGGAGGATGGCAAGATGTGGCTGAGGAGGCACCAGCGGTGGCCCCGTGTCAGCCAGTACTGCATCCTTATCTTCCTTCTGAAAAACAGTGCCTTGGATTTCTTCTGGGAAGTGCTCTCAGCAGGATTCTTGGGACATTTGGTTGGAAAGGGCTGACTCTGCCCCGTTTCCCCTACAGAAAGCAAAAGACCCAGCCCTGCTTGGTCAGAAGATACCACCCTCCTTCCACACAGTGATCCCATAAGTTCCTGACTTAGCTACATCTTAGATTTATTCATCCTGAGATTATGCCTGAGAGGAATATATTGTTTTTACTGGCATAATGTGTATTTGGGATGTAGGTCTCCCTATAATAAGCCCTTCAGCTCGGAGTAGTAGTGCAGGCCTATAATCCGTGAACTACGGAGGATGAGACAGGAGGATCCCCCGTGAGCTCAAGGCCAGCCTGGGCTACATTGAGTTCAGGGGTAACCTACACTACACAGGGGAACCCTGTCTCAAACAAAACAAAACATTTAAGCCCCTCATCCCCATGGGCGCCCCATCTGCAGATTCACCAACCACGGGTCTAAAATATTCACAGGATGGGGGCAGAAGGTTGTGTCTGTACTGAACATGTACAGATTTCCCCGCTGTCAGGATTCCCTGACAGATATGTATAGAACTATGTTCACAGGATTTCCATTGAATCTAGACGATTTACAAAATACATGAGAATGTACTGAGGTCATATGCAAATTCAGCAGGATTTCATATAAAATATTGGTGCACCATGGATTTCAGTATGGGGGAGACAGGTCTAAGACTGAACCTCTCCTTCCCCTCACCTCATATACTTAAGGGCAGCTTTAGAATCTTTTTACCCAGGGCTCCTGTACGTTTTCACCCTGCACAGCCCCTTGCCGACCACTCGGGGTCCTGCCATTGCAGGTCTCCGCGCCCCGCTGGGTCACTCGGGGGCCCACCCACAGCATGGGGTCGGATGAACGCAAGCTGACCAGCAGAAACGTTCATTTAAAGCTTGATTTCGAACTGTCAGCTTCTTCTGTATTCCGGCGTCAACTATTCCCGGAAGCCTACTGTCTCCAGGATTTAGCAGCTATCACACCTGGGGAGGAAACTGAGCCAGCAGCTACCACGCAGCCGCCCGACGCTCGGGCCTCGCGCGCGCCGCGGGAGCTCAAGGATGCGCGTGAGCATGCGCGGGGGCGGGGCTACGCCCGGGCCTGCGCGCTGCCGCCGCCTAATGGTGAGGAGGAGCGGCGTGCGCGCTTCGGGCGGCAGCCTGCGTCCGCCAGTTTTGTGCGCCTCTGACCCTCGCTCGGGCTCGCACGGAGCCGCCGCCCTTGCTTGCCCCGCACGGCGCCCCTTCTCGGCTGTGCGAGACGGGGGGCATGGAGAGGACGCGCCCCTTCAGCGCTCCGCGGGCCCTGAGGAGCCGACCGCGCGCGGTCTGAGCCGTCGTCCGCCGGAGGGGCGCCTGGACGCGCATCCGTGGGCGGGCCGCGGACGTGAGGGCCTCCAGCTGCCGAGCTAGGGCGCGCAGTCCCGTGCTCGTGCTCGTCTCCGCGCAGGCCGCGCGTCCGCGCGCCCGCCGCAGCCCCGGCCGCGCCCGCCCCGCCTCTCAGCGCCGGCCCGCAGCCCCGTCCTCCAGCGGCGGCGGCAGCGGCGGCCTGAGGGACGATGAGCGGCGCGGCGCGGGCGCGGGTGCGGGCGGGCCCGGCCCGGCTCGCTGCGCTCGCCCTGCTGACCTGCAGCCTGTGGCCGGCGCGGGCGGACAACACGAGTCAGGAGTACTACACGGCGCTCATCAACGTGACGGTGCAGGAGCCCGGCCGTGGAGCCCCGCTCACGTTCCGTATCGACCGCGGGCGCTACGGGCTCGACTCGCCCAAGGCCGAGGTCCGCGGCCAGGTGCTGGCACCGCTGCCCATCCACGGAGGTGAGGCGCGCGGGCGGCGTGGGGCCTCCCGGCCTCGGGCCCGGGCCCGGGCCCGCCCTCTGAGCTGCACCGGGTCGAGAGTCCCACGGGCCGCCCGCCCGACCCTGGCTGGGGAGGAGGCTCCGAAGGCGTCGTCGGGTCTTTTCCGTTCTTTTTTAAAAAAGGACTTCGAGTGTTCTCTTTTTATTCTTTTTTTTTCCGTTAAGGTGGCTTGTTTACTGGCGGGCAGTGAGCAGCGAGTTTGTAGGGACAGCGTAGACAAAGGAGCGGTTGCAGGCGTGCAGCACTCGTCCGCCCGGGGGATGCGCGCCTGACCTGGGCGCTGGGACCAGCGGGTTCCTCCTGAAGTCGCGGACCGATCACTGCCTGAGACCGCGAAGGGCCTTTTCCCTACGTGGAAACGTGCCGTTTTCCCGAAGTGGCAATGGAGAGAGAATGGACGAGGAAAATGGTCATCTTCCCTGTTGCTTTTGGCTCGCATTCTGCCCCCGCGTAGTTTACTGTAATTTGACGCCAGAAAATTTCCCACTATGAAGACAGACCAGTCAGAACTGGTGTCCAAATCTCCAGGTCCTGGGTGCGGACCGAGAGGGAAGTGGGTGAATTTGTCAAGCGTTGTCTTTGAGGCCATCTGATTTATTCTTCGTGGTTTTCAGTAAACGCTGGCTCAGCTTAATTATTTGATCTGATATTTAGCATTTTCTTAAATTGCTGCTCGTGTTTTAAAGCAAAAGATCCTGGGGTTTGGTGGTGGGTCAGGGAGTTGACACATGGTGAATTTTTGGAAAATGTCTGCTCTCTTCTCTACTTGCACTCTGACGTTGAGAGTGCTGAGGGTTTTTTTTTTTTTTAAAGAAACTTATTTACATTAAGGTGCCCAAAACCAGGCAGTCAGAATAAGTAATGATGTTTGCTGTTGTAGTGTAAAATATTAAAACATTATGCCTCTCTGAGTGCTGCGTTTGTTTGATAACATGTTAGGTTGCTTTCTTTGAGGCAGTCTGGCTGAGGAAGAAGAAATGCTGTGAGGCTTTCCTGTAGGTTGTGCCCCACGTCTTCTGAACTCTTCAAAGTTCATTTTACGCCAGTGATCAGGTGCAAGGCTCCTCTCCGTTTTTCTCAAAAGCGCAGGTAGGGTCCCTGCTAGACTTAGAAACAGCTTTTGTCTTTGGCTCCTTCAGTAAATATTTGTGCGCCTGCTCTGTGCCAGTCACTGTGGTTGGGACCTAGAATGTTGCCAAACCATGGACTAACAAAGCTGGTCTATTTTCTGGTGCGGAGAACCCCTGCAGTCACGTGGAAGGGGAGGAAGAGGAAGAGAGAGGCAAGCTGTTTTGGAGCTAGAGCTTGCCCCAATGGAGTTTTGAAATCTGTGGTTTGTCTTTGGGGCTTGGTTCCCTCAGACAAGTCAGGGCTGTGGCCTTAACTTTAGATTCTTGCCTTCAAAGTGTTGCAAGTGCTTGGACTCTGTAGTGCCTGCCTGTCACCTCACAGCCCTGAAGCTCCGACTTTAAGGAAGCCTGTCATAGTTCCAGTAGAAGGATGTTGGGAACTGATGTGCACCCATGTGTGAATGGTTGTCCTGTTGCCTTCTCACCAAATAGCATCATAAGATAAAAAATTCTGAGTCAGACTTGAGATGTGTGGTATTGTGTCACAGGGACAAGGTAATTTTGCCACTTAGCTTCAGTTTTTTCATCTGCAAAACGCAATAATGATGGTGTTTACTGCTTATGGGTTGTGAGATTACATGATTCTTGATTTTTTTTTTGAGGGGGAGGATACTAGGGATCAAAACCAGGGCCTTCATACTAAGCTATCTCTACTCAGGCCTCGTTATTCTTTATTTTTAGATAGGATCTTGCTGAATAGCCTCAGGTAGAACTTCAAGATTCTCCTGCTTCAGCCTTCCACAGTGCTGAGATAGTGGCACCAAGCATGATTCCTTAGTTCTTAAAAGAGCAGGCTTGTTAACCTAACAATCTCTGATTGATTGGGGGTTTAGATACTACAACAAAATGAACACATTTGTGAAGCCCTGCGTGAAGGCTGTACGTCAGTTTTTCTGAGTTCCTGTCGTCCTGTGATTCTCTGTGATGCCTTTTGTATCTGTACCACAGGAGAATTGTCCGGATTTTCCTCAGGTGGTTTGAGTCTGGCTTTGTACCAAGGGGTCTTCAGCATATGTTCTTCCAGCGAATACCCAGTAAAATCCCACTGTGCAAACACCATTCAGAGCACTGGCAAGGAGGGAGTAGCAGCTGCAGTGAATAAAAATGGTTTAAAAAATACCTTTCTGAAGCTCTCATTATAGTGGAGATATTTATAAATTAACCTATCTTTAAATTGTTTATAAACCTGTGGATTTATATGAAGTCCAAGAAGTTCTTCTGCTTGTGCAGTAGAAAATTATGAATGTATTTTGAAAATAAGAATGTGGTAGAAATCTGCTAAAATTACTCATGTTTAAAAAATGATTTAAAATGGTAATAACATGTGGGTACTTTACTATCTTGATTTATTTTTAAATTTTAATTTTGTGCATTTTTAGAAATTATATTATGACCTTTATGCCCTGATAATTTGAATTGAATTTTTGACATGTTTATTGAGATCTTCATGTGTATTGACCCTAAACAAAGTGCTGTTCACACACACACACTCAAAAATTAGGAGACACAGTTGCTGGTCAAAACCTATTATAGTCTATTGATCTGAAATTCATGAAAATTAATTTTGAGATTGAGGAGCAGAAATGAACATAAAGACAAAAAAACTCCCAAGAGCTGCCACCTGTTTTCCTAGAACTCAATATAATGGCTTACTTTACATCTCTGGCTTGATTTGTAAAATACAAACCTTTCTTGTTTTTCAGTGCAACACTCAGACATCTGTGCATTACAAAGTTAGGCATATGTGAATTGATAAAATTATTTGTTCTGATTTTTTTGTTTTATCTGTGGTGTTGGTGGTGGGGATTGAACCCAGGGCCTTGCACATGTTAAATAAGTGCTCTACCACTGAACTACATGCCCACTTTGTTCTTTACTTTTAAAGGACACATTGTTTTTCGTTTTTTCTTAGATGCTTTGGTAATTTAAAAGTGCATTTGGAAAGAGCTACACTTCTGCCTTGTAAAATACTTGGTAAACAAGTGTTCTGCTTTGAAAAAAACATAGTTTTAAGGAGCAAGTCTTAGGGGTTATGCGTAGCTAGCTGGTTGTTCCTTTCTTACTACCATACTTCCTGAAATAATAAGCTTAGAACTAGGAACAAAATGTTTAATACCTTTGTGGAGCAGACCAGCCAGTGCGTCCTAGAGAGCAGACATAGTAAATGTGCTTTATGTGTGTGCACACTAACTTTTTGTTCGTGCCTGGGCTGGGAGTTGGGAGAGGAGAAAGCCCTGTGTTGGTGGATGTAATTATGTATGCTGCTGTGCTGGTGGGAAGAATTCAGTATCAGCCCCCTTTTTGCCTTGCTGAGAAATTTTCAGAATTGGGTATTATAGCCTTAGAGACCAAGTTTACAAAATAAACCTTTCCAGTATCTTGTCTACTATAAGCATGCAATAAAAAAATTTTTTAAACAACTCTTAGATTTTTATGTTTTTTTTTTTAAAAATGAGCCTATTGGATAAACCCTTTAATGGGTCCTTTAAGGAGCCTGAACAGTGAACAAGATCTATGTGAAGACAGAGATTTGCATGAAAGGGGTCTTATAATACTGTTAGAATTCAAAATGGCAAAGGCAGGAACTGCTGGACTTAGATATAGGTTTCAAAATCTCTAGAGAAAAAGTACATATAATTTTGGACACAGGGACTCTGAACTTTCAGAAGAATTCCAAAGAGCAAGAAACTCTAAAAGCTAAGAGTTGACATAATTAAATTACCAGGTGAGAAAAATTGTATTTATATTGGACTTGACAGCTTTGTGTGGTGTTGGAGATTTGTTTGTTGAGACAGGATCATATTATGTAGTTGGCCTCAACTCAGGATCATCTTGTCTCAGCATCCTGAGTGCAGGTATACAACATTATACCTAGCTTAGAAAATGTTTTTCCGTACATTTTCTCTTTTGGATGATTTCCATTAGCATATAAATGTTAGGATATTTTTTAAGAATCACTCAACACGCCCACCAGCTAGCAGGTCCCTACCGTGCTATCTCCCTGTATCTCTGTTTCTGTTATTGCAAAGCCTGTCATAAATACTGTCTGTATGGTACCTGCTGCCTCTTAACGTTTCTGCCAAGTGTTCTTTACAGTGTGGAGATCTTGGAGTGTGGTGTGAGTGATTGTGATAAAAACATGGCATATCTAACTGATACATTTGGTGACGGGATCAGGATTTCTAAGATCTCAATGTGTAGAATGATGAGCTGAAGTTAAGGAAAAAGTTCACAAAAATGAGTGTATAATCCTTGGGTTAAAGAAGAAATCTTCATTGAGGTTTGTTAAGGGGTGAGAAGGCTTAGCTTCATGCCACACATCAAAGCCTATGAACTGTCCCTGACCTGGCCCAAGCTAATCTCGTGTTGTGTCTGGCTGTAGGGCAGTGGTGGTGATCCTATGGCACATGTGCTGCAGCAGGCACACAGAGCCCGCTCCATGTGGGAGCCTAGTGGCTGCTGTTAGTGAATGGCACACTTAGGGGCTGCGTGCCTGCTTGGAAGGGAGGAACATTGCTAGCAGATCTGAGTGCCATATGTGTTGCTCAGACTAAGGAAGTGTGAACCAAGGTTTGACAAATGGTCAGCACCCATACAACAGCATAGATCACATTACAAATACAAACATTTTTTACCTTTTAATAAGAAGCTGTCTGAAGCTGGGATTACAGCTTAGTGGCACAGTGCCTGCCTGGCAAGTCCGAGGTCATGAGTTCAATCCCTGGTCCCTCCAAAATAGTTCTTTGTATTTTCCTGTCTTTTTGAGACAGGGTCTCATTTTGCAGTTCAGGCTGGTTTGAACTCACTTTGTAGCCTAGGCTGGCCTTG